TGGTTCCCGCCTTTGCCTCGGGGCGGCGGGAGGGGGGATGGGCGCGATGGCTGCGGGAGCAGGAGGAGGCCACGGCGCGGGTGCAGCGAGGGCCATTGGTCCCCGCTGTGATGCGGCGTGGGAAGAAAGCAAGCCGCTGTGTGCTGGCTGTATAGACCAAGAAGCCGGTGTGGGGGGCCAGAGCTGAGGACACCGCCTGTGGGAGGGAGAAGCAGGGCTGCTGCGGGCCGGCGGGCTCGGCGGGCTCGGCGGGCTCGGGCCTCCTGCAGCCTCAGGCCCCGCCTCTCCGGCCGTGGCGCCCGCGGGAGCAGGGGGCTCGCAGGCCTCCCCCTGCAGTGGGGGAGTAGGCCCCCAGGGGCAGGGCCCTGTCTCAGGAAGACCCCAGGGTCGGGCGCGCAGGACGGAGGCTTGGGGGCCTGGAACCCCTGGAGGGGACGTCCCGGGGCCCTGAGCACTGTGAGGCACCTCAGATGGACTTTAAAGCAAAGGGGTTGACCGGTGTCTAGACGCTGGATATTTGACATCCCAGTGAGTCCTGACCCACATGCACCTGTGAGCGTGTGGGTGTGCACATGCGTGACCGCGTGTATTGACGCCCACGTGTTAGACAGTTGGGGTGCTCGGTGCAGGTGCGCGGCAGGTTAGGGGAGCGCGAGAGGGAGGGCAGCACGGTGGGGCCCTGAAAGTCACCTTCAGGCGGAGTAGCAAAGCGGGGGGGCGCTCCTTCCCGTGCTCCCGCCTGTCTCCTTTACCCCGAGAGCCCGCCCTCCTGCCTGAGACCCCCGGCTGCTTTCTGAGGCCTCCGCATCTCCGGAGAAGGTGCGGGATGGACTCTGGAAGCTTCCATGGGGCCGTGGTGTCCACAGATCTGCTGAGCCCTGCGGCGTCTGTAGCCGCATCCGGCCAACTGTGCCACGTCGTTCTCCAAACCTACAGCTGTTGGATGGAGCAGGTTTCCCCGAAAAGGGACTGGTCCCTGAGTGACTGCACTTCTCCAGTGTGTCCGGCCTGGGACAGCGGGTCCCGTGTCCCTCAGTCACTCCTGGCCCCCAGGACGAACACTCTGGAGCAGGGAGACACCGCCTCTGGTCCTGAAGGACAGCTGCACCCACCCGAAAACGCAACCCACTTAGGCCATATGGTGCCTAATAAACGGCTAAGGCCAGTTCCTAAACAAATATCCTGAATAAAAGGAAAACCAGCCACTGTGTAGGAACAAAGGTGTCATCAAAGTCTAATTTTCTATCCCAATAAACGTCTTTGAATTAATGCCTGTTACACTAATTATGAAGGTTTTATTAGTGTTCTCCTTGATTAATAAAGCACACAACACAGATCACATGAAATATTACTGCCTTTTCCCCACGGAGAGCAACAGCGAGAAAGACAGCTGACAGAGCAGAGGGCACGCACACTGGCTCTTTGCAAGTATGAAGGTGATTTTCAAAGGAACATACAGCCTCCTACACCCAAACCTGGGGCCCCAGCTGGGGGAGACTCTGAGCCCGCGCCCCCTGGTGCAGGCTGGGCCCAGCGTGGGGAGAGCACGGTGACCTGCGGCCTTCCCCTGAGACACTCGAGAAGCAGATGCTCCAGCCAACCGCGGAGACAGCCGCGAGGGACACGGTGCGGATGCTGTGTGCGAGGGTGCCCCGAGCCCTGGCTGTAGGACGTGGCCACCGGCGGGCGCGGTGGCAAGTGGACTTGGTGTCAGCGGACAGGGCTGTGCCAGCCCCCATGACTGCGGGCCTTTGAGGGGGAGGGAAAACTGCCCGGGCCTGCCCTGCCCAGCCGCTGGTGAGATGGCGCTGACCAGGTCTGGCCAGTAAGGGCAGGATGCTGCCGACTGTGGGAGGTGCGGGTGAGGGTGGAGTAGAGCTGACTGTGGCACAAGGGGGCCAGGCTGTGACCCAGCACCCTCACGCTCCCAGGACTTTATCGACTAGCAGGTTTGTGTATGAGCACACGCGTGCGTATTTCCAAGGATTTGCGGTGACCCCAGTTCCAATACTCCGAACACAGGTTTGGGCTCTCGCTGTGAAGAGAGGCATTGTGTGATCTTGAATCACCCAGGTTATAGAATTGCCGTGCACAGCGCTTCCGCTTACGTCCGGTAAGATTACATCTAACAGATTTTATTGAAAAAAAAAAAAAAGAGTCTCAAGCAACAATTTCATAAAAATGCATCCCCGAATCGCTTCTGGTGAAGCCCACGGTGTTGGGAGGGGGTTAGAACCACCCCAGACTCGGTCTCTGGAGGCGATGGGGGCGGGCGGGCGGGGGTGAGTTCAGAGCCTCCCGTAAGGTGGGTGGCTGAGCCCTCACCATGCCCTGCTTGCTTCCCCGCTGAGCTCGCTGCCACCTGGTGAGGGTCCGCGGGGGTGCACGTATTTTTCTCTTTAGCCCCCCAACTGCCCCGGTCTCTTCCAGGTGATCTTGAAGCCCCTCAGGACCAGGGGCTACAGCCCCTCTGTCAGAGTACATGCTTGGTGCCCCACCACATGCTGGGTGTTGTCAGGGGGATAAAGCCCTCCTGGTGACTGGGAGATGCACATCCCAGGTCGGTCCAGGAGGAAGGGCCATGGTAGTAACAAGGACTTCCAGCAGGTGTCCGCGGCCACGGGGGCTGGGACCCGGGGTCGCAGCAGGTTCTGCAGGGCCGCACGGTGCGGGGCAGCGCTGGCCCCACACGAGCGCCCCTGTGCTGTGGGGGCGAAGGCTCTGCAGGGGGTCTTGCACCGGTTCTGTTTCCTTCCAGAATGCTGGCTCCATCCCGTCTCAGAACATCTGCAGGGGTCTTCAGCCCGGTTGTGAGGTGACGGCTGGTGCCTGAGCGGTTCCCAGCCTGCTGCTGAGCTGGAGTTCCTACCCCAGCTTGCCCCACGTGCACATACCTTCCCCAGTTTCTAAATAATCGTTCCCTTTGGGTTTCACTTCCAGAAGCTGTGTTGGGGGCCCCTGGGGGGCTCAGTCAGTTCAGCGTTCCACTCTTGGTTTCTGCTCAGGTCCTGATGTCAGGGTCGTGAGATCGAGTCCCGCAAGGGGCCCTGCACTCTGCGGGGAGTCTGTCTGCGGTTCTCTGCCTCCCCCTCTGCCCCCGCCCCCACTCAAATAAATAATAAATAAATAAATCTTAAAAAAAAAGTTGCTTTGGGTTCTTTTTCAAATCTGCTTCCTTTCACCCACACTGTTCTTTTTATATGCCGTTTGGAATGTTCAGACTCATTTTATCGCCTTTTTGTATTGTTGTGCTGTCTGCATTTCTCCCCGTATCAGACGTCTCGGCCCTGCTGTGGTCCTCTTCTCCCTGTGGTTATGGTTGTTTATGGGGAGCTAACCCAGTCCTCTCGGGCGCATCCTTCTGGGGACTTCGGTGCTCCACCCGAGTGGTTTTGCCTCCGCTGATGCCCGCCACCCGAGGGCTCCGCTGGGCTCACATTTTAACCCTACTTGTTTGGTTTGGGTTTCCTGTGCGGTGCGGGCAGGGCGGACTGGCCCCTGCCCCCCTGCCTCCTGGCACCTTTCTTTCCCAGCAGGACAGCTGGGCCGGCCCGTCTCAGACCCCTCCCGTCGTTGCTGGGCTCTGGGCAGGGATGCACCACAAGCGCTGGTACCAGCAGGCAGGGATTTTATGGACTGGTTGCTAAAATCAGCTGCTACTAGAAACTACCCTGGATGAACCGAGAACTTCCGTTAACACACAAGTGGCCTCTTCCTAGTTCCTTTACTCCCTTTGCACCCCCATCCCCAGCAGCTGCGTTCTTCCCGGTCCCTTCCCGGGCACTCACCGCCCTTCCCTCGTTGAAGTCACTCCTTGTGGGGGTATATGCATCCCGGGAATCAGCAGGTGAGTGATGGAGACGTGACTGATGCTGATCGAAGTGGAAAGTGGGTGGTGTGGAAGGCTGTGGTGAGCATTCTGTGGGAAGTTGTTGGCTCCGTGACCCCGACGATGAGGAGGGCTGGCTACGTCACTACTGTGTGCTGGCGGAGTGCACATCTCCGTGCATTTCTGCGTGTCCACGTTTGCAGAGGGAGCCGGCTCTGGACATTTCCAGCACACCAGCTCCCGGGGCCCCCTGGGCTGGGTCAGAGCAGGCTGCTCAGAACCGGCCCCCAGCCCTTGTGTGGCTCAGTGTCCACACTCACCCACACCGACCATGGGCTCCCTCTTTGCCCTTTCGTTAGAGCTGGTATGCACCGTATGTTTCCGGTACATGTTGTCCAGCATTCCTAAATACTCATGGTGGGAGGGGAACCTTTTCATGGCTCGGGGTCTGCCGTGTGCATGTTCTGACATGTGCTTATCATGAGAAGCCGCCCCATGTGGTGCGTGCACCTGTGATACCTCAGGGACCCCCGATGGCAGTAACTCGCAGCAGTGGGACGCGCAGTCCGCGGATGCCCAGGCAGGATTTGAACGTGAGGCCGACTCTGGAAAGGGGGGTCTGAGAGACCGATGTAACTGGGTGCCCACCCAGCGAGACCTGGGGGCTGATCTCTCGAGAAACGCACACCAGCACTTGGGTGGACACTGAGCCCCTCAAGCTGACGGGCCCTGTGAGTGGTTACCTACTCCCATGACAAGCTGACTCCACACGCAGCCCTGAGTCACTGGGGTCACTGAGGCGCTATAGGACAAGCCTGCCCCTGTGCAGCCGCCTTGATGTGCCAGGATGGGTGTTTGGCTGTGGGGGGTGGAGCCTGAGCCCCGGGAAGGAAGGGTCTTCCGCCGCTAGCCCTGTGCTCACGCCGCACAGATGGGCACGAGGGGCTGGGGGACACTGCGCAGACCACAGCCCCGGCTTCTTCCGGAGATCCTGCAATCAGTCTTTGAGGAAGGAAAGCTCTGGGACGCTCCGGCCCTTCGTGCACAGCTAACCCTGCAAAGGCGGAATTCTCAGAAAGGCTCCCATCTGCTCCCCCACCTCCGGGAGCAAAGGACGGGCAGGGAAAGTTGCCCTATCCTCCCCAAATAAAGACCATTTGAATGTGAAATCAAAAGTTTAATCTGACACAATTAAATATATTTATATATCTCACACTGGAGGATTTCTTTCGAAACATAAGGTTAGAAATTACAAGTAGGTATATGCTTCCTATATTCAGATAAATTAGTTGCTATTCATTATTTAGATTCCAGATAGGGAGAAACAACTCTGGCAAAAAATTATAGATCTATTAGAGCAGATGACATGACAGGACCACTTAAAGACACAAACAGTATTTGGCATCTTCTTCCCCAGTCACAGGCCGCTCTCCCAATGCTACTGGTGTTTGGGTTGCAGTGTCGACTTAGGGCGGGAAGAATGTGTGCAGTAAGCGGGACATGGAAGGTACCGGGGATGTATTCACACCTAATCCTAAGAAGAAAAGCTGTAGTGCACAGAGCTGTCTGCCTTCTTAGAGCCCGCCGTTCTGAGTCCAGCGAAATGAGTTCCTCTGTCGGGGGCGGGGGCGGAGGGTGGCAAATCCGAATCGCCTCTAGACACTTGTGTCTGAGCGAGTTACACAGGTGTCTGACCTAGGTGACCCCGGGGGGGCGCGGGGCCCAGGAAACGCTGCTGTTTCCACCTTTCTCCCTGGTGCCAGGATCTCACCCAGTAAAACCAACAATGTACGTCACCCTGCATCCCCTTCTGGGAACGGGGTACCCAGGGTCTCCCCTGGATGCTGGCAGGGCCCAGGACATTCCCCCCAAGAGGGGAGCACAGGAGCCTGCTGGGGGCTAGGGCGCTCCTCAGGGACCCCGGAGCTTGTTACCTGCCAGGTTGGTTCCCCGGATCTGGTTACCCCCAAGGGAAGAGTTTGTTAACAGCATCTGCTTTTGCAATGTGTAAATCTGTATTTAAAGTTAAAAATGTGTCTCCAGACTGGTTGCAGATGGGAGGCCTCGCCTGGGGTGGCTGGCCTGGGACGCTGTGCCCTTCTTTGGGGGGTGGACAGTGGAGATAGGCTGTCAACAGCACTGGGGGCAGGTGTCGGGCAGCCTGCACGGGGGAACAGAGGGAAGACGCAGGGACGATGCTGTTCTTATTTCCCCCAAAGCTGCAGAATGGTAACACTTTGTTGCTCTAACTCCTGAACAAGTCGGGGAGGGGCTCCTGCCGGTGATAAGCTGTCGTAAAGCCAAATGCCAAATGTCTGGTGGTGCCCTTCCAGCTTCTCCGGGTCCCCTCCCTGCAGAGCTGGCCCATCCTTCAGAGTTATAGCCCACAGGCCGGCTCTCCGTGGAGATGGTGTGGAGCGCACAACCTACAGCATCGTTAGTAGGGCATTGTTTGCAATTAAGAATGTGAATGTGTGCTTTAAGGAAAAGTGTTTTCCTTTCAAGGAAGTGAAAACAGATAAAATGATTGTCCTGTGATTGGACGATCCCCCAGATCTCCCCTTACTATGATTTGGTTGAACACAGATGCGCATTGTAACCGCTGGGCCGCACTGACGAGGCAGGGACACTGAAGACACACAACTAAGTGGCATCGCGATTCCCAGCCACAGTCGACAGCCATGGTGCCAGCGCCTCCCAGCCTCGGGCTGCGTGCTCGCGCTCACTGCGGGAGGGCCCTGAGGATGGCGTTCACCTCCTCCGCCACGGCCGTCAGCGCAAACTCGAACTGCTCCTGGAGGGACGAGAAAGTGAAGAGGTGAGCGGGACCACGTTCCTCTAGACTCCGGCCTTCAGCTCTGCCGTGTCATTTTGCAGAAGGAATTGGTTCAGGAAAAGGAAGAAAGATCACACATCTCTGTAGAGAGGACAGTGGTGTGCAAGATGAGACCCCATGTTGATGGTGATTAGAATTTCTCACGTGGGAAAGGCTCATCTTCTATCACCGCGAGGAGCTGCTAAGCCCGCGACGGCACAGGGACGGCGGAGTGCGCAGCCCCCGGGGCGGGCCAGGGCCGACGCAGACACCGGCCACCCTGAGCTCCAGACCCCACACCAGCTGCGTGCAGACCTGCCACGGAGCCAGCCACATGGCCTCCCCTCGGAGAGGCCGAGGGGTAGTGTCCATCGCCCCAGCGTCCAGCCCGGCCCTTCCCTGTTGCACCTGCCGGGAAACCCCGCCTCATCCACAGCGTGTCCAGCCTTAGACGAGTGTGCCCATGTGTGCTCCTACTCATAGGCACATGCTGGATGGGGCACATGCAAAACCTGCCAAGACCAGGAGGTAGAAATGAGGGCGGTGTCAGGACTGTTCCCCTCTCTGGAAGGGGAGGGCTCAGCAGACGGGAACAAAGCCCACCCCTCCACGCAGGTCACAGGCCAGTCCCCTGCACACGTCACTTGCCACACGACGCCCCCGACACTGCAGAGAAATTCTGAAGTGGGTGTTGGGCCCCTCCCAGTCATACCAGAGAAGTCACCGGAATAATAAGTGATGCACACTATCACCTACTGAGAAAGCCCTTTGGATGGCTTCAGTGCTTGATAATCTGTGGCAGGGCAGCTTCAAATCCAAAAATCATGGTTAAAATCCACTTTGAATGCCCAGCAAGGAGCAGAAACAACAGAAAGGCGGGATAATTTAACCCTCACTTTGGGGTCAAAGACCGTCCCTTGGTGGTTCTCTTTGTATTGGCCTTGAAGGAATGACCTGCGTGGACCAACACAGTGTCTTTGCTAGTGGACACAGCCTCCTGATGCACATTCTGGAAACTGCCTTCAAAGGCATACCCAGTCGATTTTACCACTGTGCCCAGCAGCGGCCTGAGGCTGGAGCCTCAGGAGGCAGGCCCCGTGTGCCCGGCATCCCTCCTCACGCTCGAAGGCCCCGGAGGAGGGGCCTTTGGCTGTCACCAGTGACAGGAAGCTGTCTCCTGTCACCAGCTCTCCGGCTAACAGCTTGTTCAAGGGGACGTGTCGTTGGGAGGATCCAGGTTTATGACGCATGAACAGCCACTCCAGACCATTTCTTCCCCAAAGGCTGGCTTGCCAGTGGGGAGACCGAGGTTTCATGATGACTTGAAATGTGAAAGAATGAAAGGAGACTCTTTGGAACTCTCATGTCATGTGTCATGTGGCTGCTTACAGCTTTTGACACGCTGACAATCCATCCCAAGACATAGCGCTGACAGGGAAGTGGGCAAGTTCACGCATTTGGAATCCTCCGTAGCCATCACGAGTATCTGATAAGGGGGCCAACAGAGTCCAGTGAGGAGAGCAGACCAGACGTGCACCTGTGCCTCGAGTAGCCTCATCCAGACACCCTGTGCTCATAGTACACGTGACACGTCGACAGGAGGTGGGGCTTAGATGGTCACAGTGTGCTCTGTGGCCCTGGGAGCCGGAGGGCCTGCAGGATGCGCTGGGCCCTGCCACGGGAGGCTCTCGGAGCACTGGCGGGCAGGAGACCAGGGCCTCCTGCAACGAGGGACCCTTGGCAGAGGCATGCCGTGCCCCTTGGGGCTGGTCGGCAATGAGATGGGGCTTGTCAGCCGCCCTGCTCCTTCCCCGAGAAGTAGCCCCGAGTGGCAGCGCCGATGCGCTCTGGTCTCCCGCCATGGGTGGAGGCCGGGTGCGCACCCAGTTTCAGTGGCACCACCTCCACTGACAGGCCCGAGTCAACCCCTCAGAAGTCCGGGGAGCCCCACAAACAAGCTGGGCAGACACGGCACCTGACTCGCTTTTGCTGTGGCGGCTGTGAGGGTCAGTGGAGGTGTTTGAGGCTGCGTGTGCGCGTGTTTGCATTTATAGTCACACTCAGATTCGTGTTTGCAATCCTTGTGGCTCGCACAAAGGACTGGGTGGACCCACACAACACTGCCATGGTACTTTCATTCCCGAATTCAAAGGGAGTCATAGTAAATGGCTGCCCCAGGCGCTGTTACCCTCCATGGAGCGCCAACGACCCCCCCAGGTCAGCACTTCCCCACGTCTCCCTCATGGTGTGGGCAGGGCAGAGTGCTCTCTGTGCCTTTGGCTCAGCTGTTCTTCACAGAGATCAGCCCTGGCTCCATCCTTGACATCTGATACCAGAGCAGGTGAGGGACAGGGTGCATGCATGTGCGTATGTGTGTGCACCCATGTATGTGTGTGCATGACTGCACACGTGTACATGTGAGCGCGCATGTGTGTATGAGTGCACACGTGTACATGTGAGCGCGCATGTGTGTGCATGACTGCACACGTGTACATGTGAGCGCGCATGTGTATGAGTGCACATGTGTACATGTGAGCGCGCATGTGTGTGCATGAGTGCACACGTGTACTTGTGAGCGTGCATGTGTGCATGAGTGTACACGCGAGTGCGCATGTATGTGTGTGCGCGTGTGCATGAGCGTACAGTGTACATGCGAATGTGCATGTGTGCACGTGTATGCATGATTGTACATGTGAGCGCGCATGTGTACGTTTATACGTGTGTGCACACAGGTATGCACACGCGCACGTGTACGTTTATACGTGTGCGCACACACAGGTATGCACGCACGCGTGCGTACACTAATAGGTACGCATGCGTGCACACGTGTACGTTTATACGTGTGCACACACATAGGTATGCACACATGTATGCACGCACATGTGTACGTTTATATGTGTGTACACACATAGGCATGCACGCCCATGTGCACGTTTATACATGTGCGCAC